GAAAAAGTGGGAGTGGTTTTGCTATTATGGCTGGAAACTGTAACGTTAAATTACAGCATAAGCATCTTGGGAGATCGAAACGAGAAGGATGTGAATTTTTTTTGGGGGAACAAGAACAAAGGAGTTTAAGATGTGAATTTAGATATTTTAAGCAATTGCTAACAAAGGCATTTCTAAACAAAGACATGTGCTCAGATATAAAGGAAAAAATATGGGAATTGAAGTGGGAAATAAATCTAAGGATGTAAATTTTGCTGAATGATTCACAACACTTGGAATATTCATTTACAACAAGAAATTTATCTGATTTGTTTGTTTGAAGTATGATTGGAGTCTCGCGAATCGGGATTCGCGACACTCCCAAAGGAAGGCGAGAGGAAAACTAGTATGATGTTGATACTATTGATAGTATTAGTCTGAGCAATGTCTTTGTACACACTGTCCGTGTTATGTTACTACATTTTTTAGCTGGTATCCGGACATGAGTTACGTGTGTGCACCTCAGCCTTGCATAAAGTAACATTTTGATTAGTGGTACTTTCACAGTTCCATTTCTCAGGGATATTAAACGGTATTTCTAAATTCCACGTGCAGTTACTCATAGCTTGGACTTGTGCAAACATCAATGTTATTACATTAAGCACGAATAGGGTTCTTAGGAACTTAGGTTTGCTTGTCCTTTCTGCGTTTAACAGCTTTCTGGTTGTCCTTGTTCGCGTAGCGATGGATTCCTCCAAGGTTTTAATCATTTCTTCTGTCTTTCCTTGTGTATCATTTGGGCTCTCTATCTCCATTGGATATAGCATACTTATCGCACGATCAAGCTGTCGGCCATTTGGCATCTGGATTGTCGCACTTCGAGTTATCCCTCTTCTGTCACTATGGAGCTTAATTATTTTTGCTAACTTCCATGTACCTCTAGGTACTTCAGGTTCGCTCAACAAAACTATCTCATTTTCCCGTGGAGTTCGTAGTACCACCATTTTTTTTGGCGAATACTTCCGTCCGCATACGTTCTCTAAGACTTGTGAGGTATTCATCTCTCCATAATTTCCAAAAAACATCCAGTGTTTTTAACGTATTTGTCCAATAATCAATGAGTTTATCCCTTGTTTTTGATATATACGGAATGTACTCATCTCGATCTTGTTCGGTATCGATTGGGATGTCCAATGAAGCAGTAGGTGATATAAAATCAATTGGACGTATTATGTTATAATCCTCAAACCCTACATAGGTTAGTGGACGAGTATTAAGGATTCCCTCAATTTCAGCTATTAGGGTTATAAGTTCTCCTTCTTTAAGTAATTTTCTTCTAATAGCTCTTCCGAGGGCTCTCTTTGTAAATCCAATGAGTCGCTCGTAGACTCCACCCACGAACTGTGCTGCTCTTACTCCAATTAATACTGATAACTCCAGTTTAGGTATCGTTATACCCTTGATTGGAGCAATCCTTGATTTTGCATAGAGCAAGAACGACTTTGCACTATTACTTTCATTTTTGGGGTTCCGTATGTAAACTGCTGCGGAGTAAGCTCCCATGGAAGCACCGGTGAATACGTGAAATGCGGCTTGTTCTGCTGGCTCTACTGCATATCTTGGTAGATTTATAACATTTGCTGGCCATTCCGCGATAAGTTTCTTTCATTGTTGTTGGTCTGCTTCACACAAGGATTGATCCCATGAAATGTTTTCCTTCCATAAATGTTGGATTAATAGTTTGAATTTTACGAGTACAGGCACTAGAAATCCCAGCGGATCATATTGAGAAGCAATGAACTGTAGAATGTCCTTCTGGTTAAATTCTTTCCCTCCATGGCTTTAATGTTACACTTATTATATCTTTCTCGTTTCTCTATGACAACCCAAGAAAATTACCTATATGGCCTTTGTTTAAATCGTCTTCAGGTATTTTCTTGTTAAATTCTTGATCATTGGAAAGAAATTCTCGGACGTTCATCGAAGCTTCAGCAAAAATTTCTTTTATCTCTTCATACTTGTATAACGCATCCACAGTACTATCAGCTGATATAGTAATATTGTCTACATAGAGGTTTTTTATCTCCCAAGCAATCGTATCAGCTGATCTTCGAGGTGATGGATTAGCGTTGCTGCTAACAAAAAGGGTGATGATATCACTCCAAAAGGAACTCTCTTGAAGCAATAGCATTTTATATTTTCTTCATTAACTTCCTTCTTTATCTCTTTTAGCCATAGGAATCGTGTGCTGTTTCTATCTTCGGGTTGTAATCCCATTTGTAGGAATGCCTTCTCAACGTCTGCTGTTATGACTATTTTCATCATTCTAAATCGTAATAGTACACCAACTAGATCTGGTAGCATGACTGGGCCTCGATACAACACATCATTTAGGCTTTTAAATCCCTTTTCATGTGCTTAAGCATCATAAACAATACGTAATTTGGTCGTATTTTCACTAGGAGTTAACATTTTATGATGTGGTAAATAATGTATAGCACCAACCTCATCATTTGGAGAAACTTCTTCAATGATACCCGAATTTAATTGCTCCATAATTGTCATATGGTATGCGGGAAGCATTGATCTGTTTTGTAATCGTGTGACCAGGCTCTTTAAACGTCCAACACATAAACCGTAATTATCGCTCAGATTTTGTATGGAGTTTTTCCATGGCCATCGTACTTCGTATCTCCCATTTTCTTCCAAGATGATGCGCTTGTAATATGTTAGCGCTTGGTCCTCATCGTCTGCTGTGGGAGGTTCTTGTATGCCTATCATTTCTAATTTCCAGAATTTCTCTAATTCTGAATTAAGATTTGCATTAACTGCGCATGTTACTTCTTTAGGATACATGTGATCCTTACGAAGCTTATCAATATCACCACTGCCAACAATCATAGGGCCTACCTTTGATTGAACTAACATGTGTCCCGAATATAACTCCTTGAGATTTTGTAGATTTATAAACTTGAAGAAGTAGTCCGCTCTAATCAATATATCGGGTTTTCCCCAATAATTTGTTAATTCTTGGAATTGAGACTCTGTTGGTACTTCAACAACCTGTAGTTCCTTTGTCAATATTTCGACCACATTTATTCAGCGGTAGAATTTCGTTTTCTAGCGTTCGCACATTCAGTTGTGCGATTGTAGTGGGACATTGGTTGGGGTTTTCCGATCCAAATGGGACGATCTTCATGATCTGCTGATCAGATTCGGATAATCTCAACCGATAATTTCTTGGTGATAAAGGACAATTGTGATTCTATATCGAATAATGCCAAAGTATTTTGTTGTCGTTGGGGTTGCAATGGGTTAAGGACTGTCATCTCTCTACATAAGAGTAAAGTTTCTGTTGTTGCGCTTGTTCGAGTCATAAGGGTTGATGTTGACATTCCTTTGTTTTAGAATGCTCCTTGATTTCTTTTTTCCTTTTTTTCCTGAATACGTCGTATTTGTTGGAGAGGATAACCCTTTCTTGTCACATAAGGCGCTATTATGAGAACCTTTGCAATAGAAACATCGTTTCTTCACTTTGCATCCATCTCCTATATGACTGCCCTTAGGACAGGTTAAACATTTCTTCAATATCTCGAGACTATTCGTTCGAGCTTTTTCTGTAGAATAGACATCACATTCGCTATCCCAATGGTCTCGAGTGCAAAATACACACGGTCTCCATCCCTTAATTGTAGGTTGTGACACCTTTTGAGGATTTTGTATCGTTGATAACGCTGAGGTCCCAACAGTACTGTACCGTTGTTTTTGCACAAGTTGTGGTAGTTGTGAGTTTACTGTCAGCTTGGGTGTTTGGCTTTTTGCAATTTTTCACCTTTTCACTCCGATTAACCCTCTTTACCAGGAAGTCTCTTAGTTTAGAGACTGACCAAGTTGTATCTAATTGCGTTTATTCAAACACCTTATCCAAGATCCAATCTGGCAGCTTGTTTTCTATCCAGTGTTCAATACTTGAATGTTCCACCTAGCGTTTCTAATTGGCGTATCACTTTCTCGATATGTTCGACCATTTTTACCCATTCCTTTTCATTCCTTTTGATGGATCTGAGTTCTTCATATAGTATGGTCGTTGCTGCAGAGGGGTCGCCATACTTTTCCCTAAGCAGTCTTCTTACAATTTCATAATTCTCAGGTGCAATATCATATCCTAATACTACCTCTAGTGCGTTTCCTTTGAGACACGAGTATAAATAATTCAATTTTTGTACCTCGGGAATTGGTTGAGAATGAATCGCTGCATTGAAACTGCTCCAAAACTGTCGCCATTGTCTGGGGTCACCATTGAATGTAGGTAGGGACAATTGAGGAAGATGGACATTGGGAGTCAAAGGGGAATTTGAGACTTCAACATCTTTCCTTTTTTCCTTTGAAAGTTGTATTAACTTTTGTTCAATATCCTCTTTATCCATAATTAGTGTTATTATCGCTTCATTACCTTGCTGCAATATTTGGTATATTCCTGTTTCACCCATTGTGATTACTTCGAACGCTTTCTCTTCTTCCTCCTTTTTCTTGAGGTGATTGTTGGTGTATAATTGAACCAGTCATCGTTTATGGACTGGAGCGTCTTTATACACAATTGAATTTTTCGAAGTTTGTCTTCGAGTGTTCTATTTCTCGCCGTATAGAGGATTTCCTGTTGCTCTATCGTTGCATCTGGTTCCAAAGACTTAAGTTCTATTGAATTTATTTCCATAAGATTGACTAACCTCTCTTTCGCCGGCTGGGTGCTCGCAATAATGTTGCCGGACATGGCTCCCGGCTCGTGGCATCATAAATTATGTGTCGTGGATTTTTATTGAAGTATTTTGCGGTCAGTCAATAGTTGGAAACAAGCAGGGGATTTTTTACACGTTGGTTGTAGAGGAGAAAAATTGAGGTCACTTGAAGTATTAGCTGCACCAAGTTTGATGTGGATGATGTTCGTGTGTCGTACGTTGTGGACAAAGACAAGAGTTGATTCTTTACTTGTCAAGGGTAAGGTCATAAAAACGACACAATCTGGTGATAATGATAAAAAAAAGAATAATCCAAACTGATCGAGTATAATGAAGAACTGATTGTCCAAAAAGAAAGCCTTTGGTTCACTCAATACCGCTTATATACGGAAAAAGTGGGAGTGGTTTTGCTATTATGGCTGGAAACTGTAACGTTAAATTACAGCATAAGCATCTTGGGAGATCGAAACGAGAAGGATGTGAATTTTTTTGGGGGAACAAGAACAAAGGAGTTTAAGATGTGAATTTAGATATTTTAAGCAAT